CACACACACACACACACATACACACACACACTTATTAATATAATAGTGGTTTTACTGTGTTGTATTTGCTGATTGCTGTGTTTTAATGGTGTTGATTTTGTTCTTATTGAGGGGTTTTGTGTTGGTGGGGATGAAAATTGTGTTTTTGTTCTTGTTGCTGCTGCTGTTGTTGTTGCTGCTGCTGCTGTTTCTGTTGCTGTTGTTGTTGTTGTGTTGTAACTATAGATTTAGTTTCTAGTGTGGCTTTATCATTAACCCCATTCCTATTACAAGACGATATGTGTTCTTTATCTATTTACGTGAGTGTAAGATCGTGAACTGCTTCACCCCGAAAGACTAGAGATAACTAGTTATCATCTTTGAAATTTCTACTAGCCAAGCCCATTGACTTGAATTATAAAAATATTATTATTAACTCCGACCAGGTGCGTCAGCTACCCTCATGGTCGCCGTTCTTTGCTCTCTATAAAAACAGTTGCTGCATTGTTGCACATCATATCGTTATGGCCGCGCAAATAAGGAAAAACACTAGTTTCGCTATAGTATTGCGCGCTCATCCTTACCCTCCCCCTCCCCTCTCCCTTGTCCTTCATTTTGTTCCACATTGAGTCAAATTCGAGGCTTCGTGGTGAAGTCAGGCGCTCGTCAAAATGATAAAATCAAAGAAATCGTCATTTTCAGTTCGTTTAACCAACTTTTATTTTTTTATTTTTTTTGGCTTAGCACCTTTTATGTCCATTTAAAAACTCATTATTGAAAAATGTTGATCAAAGACATATAAAATGTAAATTTCCAAGGGCTCTCAAGCTTTGGAAGTCACCAAACTTCTCTTTAAGACTAAAGAGTATTTTTTCATCGAAAGCAAGATAAATAAACAAGCTTGCTTTAAGATGCTACCAATAGCTCTCATCATCATCCAGTGCCAGATCTGCGACAGACATCTGCGATCATGGTTCTCCATTCATTCCTTTGCTCGGATGCTCTAAAAAAAGCTACTTTCCCCTGATCTTTCCCTGTTACCCATTTGTTTAGATTACCCAAGTATGTTGTTCTGGGCCTTTCCCTGTCTCGCTTGCCCTCAATTTTGTCAGTGAGAGCTAGGTTTTCAAGACCCTTATGTCTATTTATGTGTCCCCAAAACTGCATTTGTCGTTTCCTGATTGTTTTTAACATTGAGCGACCCACGTGAGGTGAAAAGGAGGGGGGGCGAAGAAAGAGCACAACCTTGGGTATTAAAATACATTACACGTCTATGGGCATACCTGAGTCTTTGATTTAACAGTCAAGGCTTTTAAGTCTGCACACGGGGCGGAAAGCTTAGATAACTGTCCCTCAATTCTTCATGTGACTCCGTCTATCAAAATCATGGTACTACAATGCCGTCCAAATCCCACTCCCACCCCACCCCTTTTTTTCTTACAGTCCATCTCCCGATTTTTCTCCATCTTTCCCTCCTCAGTACAAGTCTCACTTGACAACCCCACCCCACCCCCTTACTTTCATATGAAGGGTGTGGTTAACTCAAAGGTTTACCTTCTATATTTATCCCGCGCCCTTTCCTTTTGAAGCCCGACTACAAAGAGTGGAAACCCTTACTCTCTCATTATATTTTTATACCTACTTATCCAACACACATACACGAAAACACACACACACAAACATACACACGCACACACACGCACACACGCGCACACACACACACACACACAAACATACACACACGCACACATACACATACACGCACACACACACTCTCACGCACACACAC